CAGAAGATGTTAGAAGACGTTTTGTCGTAGGAATTTTAGTGTAAAGTTTTTTTTAATAGAACAGGCAATGCTTGCGTAACACAACAGAGTGCTCAACGCACCACCAGTTCTGTTTAAATAAACGTTTTGCTACATTTTCTTGGGGCTGAACGCAGCCCTGATCACAAGCAAAACCAGCATATGTTTTGTTTTGGATGCTATGTAGGATGTTGATCATCCAGCATGTATTAACAAAGCTACATGCAAGCTTACACTGCTTTACATTGAACTGACAGCATAAGACTTATGTAACACCACCAAAATACCCAAAGCTTTGTGGTAGTCAGGTTGCTTTAGCAGTAGTAGCCTGCAGTTTGAGTGGCTGGTGTTGGTATATAATTGTGATTAGCAGCAGATTTACTTTTATTAGATGTCATTTCAATGCACAAAAGGGTTAGCTTTCATATTTCATATTTCATATTTTATATTCATATTTCAACTCCTTAACGAGAAGGATCTAGTGACATTCAGGGGAAAAATGTATCAGGTTTAGAACATTTCGCGACAGTGGTGGTACAATCATTTTTTCCCATAGAGAAAACTGCCAAGACCCAAAATTGCTAACATGGGCATGCCGTCGACGACAGAATGGCCTACAACTTCGGAAGCTTATTGGTTTACTACAGCTGCCTTTACATGTTTAGCTACATTAGCCTTGTAGCTCCAGTGCAAAACCGAAGAAGCAAACTTTGGACACTAAACTTGTCTTGGCTGATCGTCTACATTTGGGGGAAGGAGGATTCTGTGTACATTGGATTTTTTTTTGGCTGAACTTTCACTTTCCCTCTAGCAGTGATAACAGTAGAGCTATTGGCGAAACCATTAAGCAAAGCAAAATGGATATTGAAGAAGATCCATTAAGTTGTTGCTGAGCTAAGCTATTTGCAGCCAGGTTTCCAATAAAAGGATTCAACTTGCAACAGATCCAGACCACACTGTTGGGTGAAAGTTGAGGATATGCACACAGGACTCAATCAGGTCGGCCACACATCGGCTATATAGGAGACAATGGGCCTGCCCCAAAAGGCACTCCAAGTCCACACTTTGGTAACGTCAACAATGAACCTAGACGGTGAACAAAGGTCTTTTCTTTTAAAAGAGGGTGCAAGGTTTAACATTTGAATATCTTCTCCTCAGCCATGTTGGTCAGACAGCTGTAAACAAAACCCTCCAATCTGATTGGTCATCGCCTGTATGTTAAGGAATTTTTTGAGTAAGGGCCGATGCTGAGTCTACATCTATGTGATCTTCACCAAAGCCTGTACTAAGGGTGCACAGAGGGCACTCATGAGCACCCCTTTGTATGAGACACCCAACAGCCTTGTGGTCCTTTTAGTCTAATACATACCTGTCTGGTTGGAAGGGAAGCCTTGACTTGAGTACAGGTTTAGGTAGCTTTTGGACTGAATGCTCCTTATGATACACAAACACATATGGTTTACACATTAGACATATTGTACAATGTGACTCATAGCATGTATGGCACTCTGTATTTTTCATTTTTTTTTCCATTTTATTTTTTAGCTTAATATGTTATCTGTAGTACAGAATTTCACTCATCAGCCTCATCAGTTTGCCAAAATTCACAATTTTATATCATATTTTTGTTCATCAATGTTCCTTCATTACAACTGCTGAGAAATACAGGAGGTTCTGGGAGGTCTGGGAAATCAAAATTTTGGAGGGTCCCTAAAAATAAACTTATGAAGCTGTTCATACATAATTCTCGAATACAAATTCAGGGAAATGTCATTGTTCAGCCTGCTTCACCCACAAAACGGCGAGCTTCTATCTTTGCTATTCTTAACTATCTAGAGATGCAGCAGTTCACCCAGTTGGTCCTTCATAGCCTAGCAACTTTGTCTATGCCTGGGACACCTCAAAACTTTACAACATTCTACAGTGTATTTGTGAATCTGAAAACTTTCCCACTTTCTCAAGAGTTTAGGGAACTGTCACTCATTTCTCAAACCAAAGACAAAAAACAGATGTGTAAGATATCAGTTAATGTATGGAAGAGCAAATTACCAAACTTGAAAAGAGCATTTGCAAAAGACGAACCCAAACATTTTGTTGCCTTTGAAGCCAGCATCAGCGCCGCTATGGTGAGTGAGTAAGCAGCCAGCTAACACTGGAGCCAACATGGAACCCCCCGAATACCAAGGAAATTTCGCACACTGCATACAACCATTAGGAATCCCTGCAGTGTCAACCAATCCTGACTGCTAGCCTAGCCACTGAGCTATAGACTAATGAATACAACAAACCTCAGCTGTCGAACACCCACTGGCTGTGTTTGAAGAGGCATACTGTTTACTCTATACTGTATCAGTATATACTGTATACTGCATGATACTCTTCATCAGTACTATACTGAACAGTGTCCAGTATACTACAAAAGCCTGTGCTGTACTACAGGACAGAGGAGCAACCAGACTGCCAACATCCAGGATTTTCAACCATTTATAACTATCTCAAGACCCGGCCCCTTTTCCTCAGCCCTCCAATCACTGCTTAGTAACCACTGCTAGCTGCTTTTCAGTGTGTACGTTTAAATTATGGTCAAGAGATGGGCCTGTGTGATTGTACCATGACACAGGGCACGACGTTGTTTTCTACCCATCTTCACAGCCACAAATAAACTCAGCAGGAGTTGGACCTCCATAATGTTTAAAAGTGTCAGCTCTGGATGTGTCTGTGTGGTAATCCTGTGTGGTTTCCAGAGTCACCTGTGCTTTCCTCTGTTTGCGAGTCATTTCATTTTCATTCCATTTGTAGTTGGTAACATGAGCTAGTTTGACTGAATAATAAGCAGCATGACTCCACATGTGAACCTGAAAGGCCAATGCTGAGCGGATTGTTCAGCTTAGATCAACTTCAGTAGGTTACTGTTGTAACCACGTTACCTGTGTGGTAAGTTCACTTTTAAATAGACAAAGTAAGTCAATCCACCTTGAGACCAGCAGAGAAGCTGGTGTGGCTTCAGTGTTACACTCGGTGAAGCAGAATCTGGATAAACTTTTATTTTGCCATTTTAATGTACAGAAAGGCTGAATCCAGGGCTAATAAAAATATGCAGGTGGTTACATCAGTATTTACATCCTCCTGGAATGACTGTGTTGCATTTTGGGATGCTAGAAAAGATTAAGTTAGCTCAGCCTGCATAGTGGAATAATCATATTTCTCAGTGCATGTAAACTCTTACTCTGATTTCTTTCAGATTTCTCAGTCTGCGCATGTGCAAAACAGACCGTGGTTCCAGAAATAAGTAAGCAGTGTTTAACACAGCGCTGCAAGATGGCAGCAAAAGAATTTTGGAGAGACGGTGAAACCGACTATATGCTTGACAAAATGAAGGTTTTAAATATTCTCCATATTCTAGATGATTTATGTTCCTATTTTCAGGTAAAGTGGCTTTACGATTAAAAAAAAAGCTCAGTTTGAGTTTACGTTTTCTGCAGTTATCGGATCATTAAGTGCATGTAAATGCATTCAATGTATTTGGCTTCCTAGCAGTAACATTGGCTATCTGCTTTCCTTCTACATGCACTCCCTAACAAAAAAAAAACACTTCAAACCGGCCTGCTCCCAAAAATCCACCCCCAAGTAGTTGTAGTTTTTCAGAAATTCCTCCCACCTTCAAGATGCATCATCAGAAGGGGGTTTTCTTACTCTTTAAACTGGAAAATCTCACTCTAGAGACCACTGCGCACTGCTGTAGAAGGAAAGCACACGTTTACAACAGATGTAGCGACGGTTACATTTGTCCTTGTGGCCAGAGAGTCACTTTAACATCTGTAGCAGGCTTGATAAATCAATAAGCAACGATGAGCCAGAATATAATATTTGTTTAAACCTATTGGGAACAATAGCAAAAACCCCAGTTAGTTCAGAGTGTAAATCAGTTCAACAGCTTTCTGACTCCTTATTGACTAATGACATTGACCAGCAGGGGGCAAAAGAGAGGGCTCAGATGCTAAATCACGGGTGGGTGGGTGTAAATGTATTGAAAAGGGTCTGATGGACTGAAAGCGAGATCATGAACTCCTTATCATTCTGTCACCCCTCATTCATCTGCACCTTTCTCCATAAACACTAATATTGAATATAATTCAATACCTACTGCAAATATGGCACATTATCTTAGCACATGTATACATATTTTAAATAAACCTTTACTATTGTGGTGCTGTGCCATTTGATGAAGCTAAAGTTGGCTCCTTCGACTTTCCCGTTCCACCTTAAAATGGGCGCCAGAATGTAACTGCTGCAGCATTTTAAGGTGGAACGGAAAACTGGAAGAAGAAAGCCAGTTTGAGCCTGGTCTCAGTTCGAGACTGAAAGCTTGAAGAGCCTCAGTGTTTGAGTAATTCTGCATGGGTGAACATGTGAAATGAGCTGCTCTGGTGCCCCGGGCGCTGATCCACACTTGATTGGGGCAAAGCAGGCTGAGAGTAGCTTATTTTACACACTCACGTCATTGCTGGAGGTTGGCCATACGGGGGGAGAGAGAGAGAGAGAGTGAGAGAGAGAGAGAGAGAGAGAGAGAGGAAAAGATATAAAAGAAAAGAAACGAAAAAAATAAAACAAACTACACATTTCCTTTAAGCATTCCTTATTTTATGTGAGAGAAAAAAAATGGAAATAAAAAAAATACATATACTGATTATTTGCAACAAGTCCCACGACCTGCCTGGGTGCTCGTGGTGCTCGTACACATTAAAAGACTCCCAGCTCTGGAAAGAAAGAGAGAAAATAATCACAAACTGACTTACAATCTATATAATTACCATCATCTGCTGCACCCCTCTTTTCCTCTCTGGCAGCGAAGCACTCCATCCATTTTTTTTTTTTTTTTGCAGCTATGGCCTGGGGGAATGTTACATCAAAACTAATCATAACGATTAAAATCAGCTTTCTCTTTTTTTTCTGAAGGGGAGAGAGAGAAGAGAGGAGGGCGAGGAGGCAAGTTGCAGGCAGGGCTGAGGCAGTTTAGTACAGGGGGAGTAAAAGAAAAGAAAAGAAAAGAAAACAAAAGAAAAGAAAGGGGGACAAAAACGAGGCACGTCTTTAAACTGTAGAGAGAAATGCGCACATAGCTTTTTTAAAAAAAAAGGGTTCTCCTTTCTGGGCTCCTCCATCCTCCACTAGTTTGCCTTTTCCTCCCCTTCTCTCCTCAGAGGGGGGGGCCAGATTTGGTTTAGGCTAGGCTAGAGACATGAGCTAATTGTATCCTGATCTTTTTTGCCTTGAGGGGTTTCGAAGCCCTGGAGCGAGTCTCCCTCTCGGTTTTGTTCCGTCTACCTCAGCCGAGCTATTGCATTTCTCTCTGGCGTGGCGCGGGAGGCAGATCGAGGGCGAAAAAAAAGGAAAACAAGGAAAAAAGGAGCGGAGAAGGAAGAAGAGAAGAAGACGAGGCAACTTTTATGTCCATCCATGTTTCAGGTAAGCGGCAGAAGGGGGGAATTTTTGGTGCGTTTTTTGCTTTCCAGCGCTGCGCCTTTTGACTGGTCGCTTTTACGCATGTGCTGCGCTGCGCGCCACAGATCCAACCCCGAGAAAACCCCATATATATTCAAGCACTTCCGCAACCTCGAGTCTCTGCGTCTTTTTTAAAGACTCTTTTAAGCGTCCCAGCGCTTGAACGGAGCAGTTAAAAGTGTTTCCATCCGTCGTGAGGTTTGATGTTGAACTGGCCGCTTGGCGTCTCTTAGTGTCTCTCTGTGTGTTTTTAAGTCTCTGTCTCTCGTCGTGGTGTTTGTAGCTGCTGCTGCTGCTGCTGCTGTGTGGCTTCCCTGCTTCGGCTCCTAACAGCCACATTTTCGGGTCATTTTGACCCACTTCCAGCTTCCCTCGCTCACCCAGACCGGCTCCATGTTCCTGGATGCCCCAGATTTTGCAAATGAAAGGCGCCATTGTGGAGTAAATGTGCCTGAAGGCTTTTTCTGAAGACAGGAGGCACCTTTTTCTCCACACACACATACACATCAGTGCTGATTCAGTGAATCGGCCCTTTTGTAGTGATGCTTTGAAACCAGAGCTTTTCCTTTGGCTTCACTGTGCTCAGGTCTTCAGGTTGCTGACCTTAACTTGATCTAGAGAGATGTAATGTAGCTACAGTCACACTCACGGGTCAATAGACGGCGAAGTAAACTGAAATGAAATGGCTGGTGTGAGTGTATATACGCTCAATGCTTACTTACCTCCGTAGTGAGTAAAGTAAAAAAGATGAAGGGGGACTTTTAACGTAGAAAAAACTTTTAAAACACTCTGACTTTCTCTCGCGTGGCTCGTTAGTTCAGTTACGTGATGAAAACAGGCTGAAAATAAGTTGAGCCAAATAATATAATAAGCTAATGATGCATTGGCCTCAGTTACTTCCACTCTTACCGCGTTTGCTTTACTTTCAACGTTCGCTTTTTGTGCGAATTTTCCGTTCCACCTTAGATGGTGCGGCAGCAACATTGTTGCGCCTGCACAGACCTGCTTGCTGCTGCAGCATTTAAGGTGGAACGGGAAATTCGATAAAGCCAATTTCAGCCTCGTGTTTTTTTGTATCTGCTGGTGTATATGGGGCACAATGATTGGGTCCAAATAGTTTCAGGAGTATCAGTTTCTGTTCTGGTCCAAATAAATGCTAATGGTGGTCCCGATGTGTCCTATAGTAACTCCCTTATAAAATCACATGAGTGTGGGTGCTGATCGTCGAACGTGTGTTGGCAAGCCCTGTCTAAACCAGGCGAATCCGCTAGAGGTCGCTGTTGTTGCTGTACCAGCTGCTGTATTGGGGTGAATGAAAACCCGGTCAAGCTCTCTGGGCATTTAAGGGTCTGTGTTCTCCAAGAAAAGTGGGTGTATTTGTTACTGGAGCAGAGAGTTTGACAACGTTGGTATTGCCCCCCCCACACCCAATTGCATTGCATTGCATTGCACTGCATTGCATGACTGGACCACCATCTGCTTCCACAATTTTCAACACTCTTCATTGTTCTCTAAGTTCCCATTGGTTTCTAGTGCTGTAATTAGAGGCCATGCAAATTTATTTATGGATTATTTAATTTATCTATTTTTTGGATTAATCAGAAGCCAATAACTACTGACTATTGAGTGGTCATGATACAGCAAGGACAGCAGGCCACACACCGCAGATGTTCCCTTCAATTTGGTGTGTCTGAAATCAATACTGAACACTTACTGTAGTTCATACTACATCCATTTTTGAATACTACATTCTAATAGGGGTTGCGCAACTAGTAATTTTAAGTCAACTAACCGTTCAAAATAGTAGTCGACTAGTTGATTAGGTGTCATTACTATATTTAAAAGTGTTCTGATGTGTGTCAAAAGTATTTTGTTAGTAGCTTGTTAATAGGGGGCTGGGGTGAGGCGGATGCTGCAGTCTGAAGAGTTAGATGTGCACTCTGGGTAGTTTTTGTTTTATTTCAGTAAGTTTCAGCCCCAGGCACCCTACCCACACCTTCCTGTGTTGTCCTGAATTGTTTGAAGCCGTAGGCCACAAGTAAACGAGATATCCTTGTGGAGTTGATGCCTGGTGCGCCACCTTATTGAACACAAGTTTGTTGCTGTTGCACTTACTTTGCACTAAGTGTTATGTGATTGGTCAATTTGCATGTCAGTAAAAAGGCCCTTTCAGACAGTTCTTAAAAACTACCCGGTCTGGCTTACGAGCCTGTATTTATCACACAGCTTGCAGTGGATTTGGTTTCATTTTGTGTAGTATTTTCACACCAATATAATACTTTGTTCACAGTTTTTTACTGTTATGCATTTCTGACGGTGCCCTTAACTAGCGCCTTATTAAATCACATCAAATCACATTTATTGTCACATCTTATTTACACAGCTGTGAAGGTGAGTGAACATCTTAGGTGCATAGCTTCCTTGTAGTACTTAAATATGCAAAAATAAATAAATAAATAAAAATATATGTATACATATTAGACTCTTAATATATATACATATACACAATATACACATTAATATACACCAGTATTAGACCATTTCCAATGTACAGTTTTTGTACAGAAATATGTGAAAGTTATGAAATAAAAGCTATGATGTTTATTACATATATATGCAATGTATATTCCATATATATATATATATGTATATTCCATTTGTCAGTCTGAGGTATATATATATATATATATATATATATATATATATATATATATATATATATATGTGTGTGTGTGTGTGTGTATATATTACCAGACATGGATAGAAGATGTACAAGATGTCAGTCCAATCTATATGTGCAGGTATAGCAGGTGTAGGTTGGCTAGATAGAAGTTCTGTGGATGCAGTGTAGATTGTCCATGGAGATTATCATGATGATGATTTAGAGGTGTAGTGACCCATTGACCAATACACCAGCACTAATAGTTGACTAGTCGACTAGTCTATGCAGCCCCTACATACTGTACACTTACAGTGCACCTACTACACAAGCATTACATACTGCACATACTAAATGCTTACTGTATTACTATATACTATACACTAATTCTAGCATTTTGTACTACACTCTTAAAAAATGGTTCTTCCAGGGTTCTTTAGTAAAGAAAACAGTTCTATATAGACCCATGAACACTCAGAGAGGCCTTTGCATGATTAAAGGATCCTTTGCATGATGAAATGGTTCTTCCGATTGATGTAAACTACTGCATTGTAGAGAGATCTATACAGAACTGTTTTGAAAAGGGTTCTACATAGCACCAAAATGGGTTCTTCTATTGTTACAATGTCAAGCTTGTAACAATAGAAAAACCCTTTTTGGTGCTGTATAAAACTCTTTTCAGACAGGGTCTATACAGAACCATCTACAGCACATTCTCCATCAAGCTGAAGAACCCTTTCATGATGCGAAGAAGCCTTTAATTATGCAAAGAGCTCTTTGAGTGTTCATGGTTCTATATATAACCATTTTCTTTACTAAAGAACCCTGGAAGAACCATTTTTTTAAAGTGTGTACACTGTGTTCTCCTGACTCCAGGAGAGCAGAACACAATCTAATGCAGGGTAAAATGTATCATAGACATTTTATGTGGATAAACAGATCCATGATGAACAGATTGCAGATTCACACACAGTTATCAGTTTCACCTCCTGATATCTTATTTTAGCCATCATCTCCTATCATAACAACCTTTTATGCAAATTCTGACAATTGAACACATATTTCTCAAAATTCACCCTGAGCTGTGCTGCTGTATCATAAAAGTAACGTCCTTTCATCAGAAGTGTTTGTCATTGTTTTAACTACCTTTCTGATAGAACCACAACTCTATATAGAACCATGAACACTCAAAGAACCCTTTGCATGATTGAAGGGTTCTTTGCGTCATGAAATGTTCTTCAGGTTGATGGAAAATGTGCATAAATGTGCTGTAAATAGTTCTATATAGAACATTTCTGAAAAGAGTTCTATAGAGCACCGAAATGGTTTCTTCTATTGTAACAAACCTGACGTTGTAACAATAGCAGAACCCTTTTTGGTGCTATATAGACTCATTTTCAGAAAGGTTCTATATACAGCCATCTATAGCGCATTCTCCATCAATCTGGAGACCTATTTCACCATGCAAAGAGCCATTTAATCATGCAAAGGGTTCTTTGAGTGTTCATGGTTCTTTATAGAACCATTTTCTTCACTAAAGAACCCTTGTAGAACCATCATTTTAAGTGTGTAGCACTGTTTTGAGGCATGTAGATAACTGACAGTGAGGGCTAGCCAGGCTAAAGTGCACCCTCCACACTTTTTTATTCACAAATTCATCTAAAACGTGCTGCAGGTGTCATGCAAGCAAAATATATAGTAAAATGCGTTCAAGTGAATGTGAGTCTGTATGAACAGACCACCACATCAACCCATAAATTACACTAGTCAACCCATACATTTTCAACTTTTGACGATGAACATCTTGCAGGTTCACGCAGTTTTCTGTTTCAGTGCCTGTCAGTTCATTACCACACAGACCAGAGTTCCTCGCAGTGTTTTTGTGATGCATGAAATATCAAAGGGAAGCCAAAGCTGAGTCGTTGCTCGTGGAGTCTGGTTGCGTCGGCTGCGTTTGAGGCTTTATTTACAGCAGAATGTAGCAGATTTGCCTGTTTACTTAACTGCCTTTGTAACAACGTACTCATATGGTCATTTACAAATTTCCCAGGAGATGCAGGAGATGAAAGCTTCAGGAAATGCCGGACTTTAATGCCTTTCTTGAACGCAAAAAATAAACCTGTGCATCGTCCGTGATGGATCTCAATTGACTGATCTGCCTCAGAGGCCACACCCCTCCATGCCTCTGGAGTTGAATGGGACTGAACAGTGTCCAGTATTTGCACACATCAGATTTTGACAGGATGTGGTATAACATCTGTGTTCTTTTCATTAACTGTTTGAGGAATACTGTGGTTTTGGACTC